TTTTGCTTCTCTACCTTGGATCTCTTAATTTCTCGATCGAGAGGATCTTGAAAGTTTCCTTCAAGATTGCTAGAAACCTTAGCCGAATGTGCTGGGGTTTCATTCTGGTATCCAAGAAATCTTCTTGTTGGACTATTTCTCGTTCGGAGGCCATTGTGGAAGAATCTGACAATTTTTGGTTTTTTATTGGTATTCGAGCTTCTTCTATCCCTCTTTTCTTCGAGTGATGAGTACCTCTTATTATCAATTCAACGGAGCCTTCTGAACCACATCTGATTTTTGGAGCTGGCTCGAGTTGCCATGCTCTTTAGCAAGCTCTTGATCATATACCGTTGTCATTTTATTCATAGTATTTATAGCGAGATCCTTTAGTGGCTTTTCCCCATGAATCAAGACAATCATCATATGCATCAATTTAGCCACTAGTGTAAGTTTGTATATGCGACTATTTGAATGAAAACATTTTTTATTTTCATGAAACATTTATATTCAATAGTTAATTGTGGATCAACGCCTTCCTATTATGTCATGACTATGCAAAAAAGGTATAAATAATACAAAAATGAAAATAAATGTATTAGTATAGGTGAGATAATTGATAAAAAATGCCATTTAAAAATAAATATAACACTTACCCAATCATGATATATACCCAAACATGTTTTTATTAAATAGTAATCCTATCTGGACATGCTTTCTGCCCAAAATGGTTTAATTCAATAAATTAATCCTATCTGTATGGTATCTAATTCACAGCTTTCATTCGGGAAAAATATATTCTATGAATTTAAAGCAAAATGTAAAGGTTTACAGTTGTTCCTCCTTTGTGTACACTTATTTCAATACCTACTAACGGACAGAGATTCTGTATAGCTCCTCCTAGGGTGACCATTCTATGGTTTGCTACATGCATGGTTTATGCTCTAACAGGGAAATGTACTTGAATTATCCTTGTTTTCGGTGCCCCTTTGGGCTACCAAACCCTTAATCCTAACCCATCACAAGCATAGATAGATCGAGTTCAATTCGAGGGGGTTCACTTCCTTATACCCATACAAGGAATAAATTTAAATGAAGGTATAAGGCATGTTTACCCCAAGGATTATTTGCTAAAACTCATACGAAGAATAAATTCTTCTGAGAGTATAACTTTCACCTCTACTTACTTAGGATGAAGCTTGGGTGTAAAGCTTATGTCATGTAAACGCACGTGATGTGTGTGAGGATAAACATTTTGACTCAAAAAGGACGAAAAAAACTCTCGATAGAAACCTTTGACACAACTGAAAACACAAATTAAGACATTGGTATGGCAATTAAAAATAAAGAAATTAGAAAGACTTCAATAAATGGATCATAAGTTAACTATAGGCTCAAACTCATAATTTCCACCATTACGACAATGTATAAGCGACTTACAGCTTGACTCTCTAAGTCCCCAGCAGAGTCGCCAAGTTGTCATAACAATTTTTATTTCTAAAAATTAATTATGACTTTATTTAGAGAATTGGGATTTTGAATTAGTTTGAATTATTTTGAATTGGAGTTGCCATCGACCTTTGGGTTAGGTAGATCGAATACCTAAAAATATATTTTAAAATAATTTACAAAAATCATTTTAAAGACAAAAATTGGTCTGCATTAGCAAATATTTATTTTTAAGGGTTCAAGAATCGATTACGTGTGGGGAAGAATAAGCACCCCCACAGCGCCAAAAAAATCGGTACTTAGTCGCTTACACATTATCGTAAATGGTGGATATTATAATTTGAATCAATATTTCAAGTACAATCCTTCTATTGGTTATTAAGTAATTTACTTCGAATTAATCAATAGGAAGAATTCTTTAATTTGGAAAAGAAATTTTGAGATTTGCAATCCTCCATTGGGAAAGCTATCTCATATATTTCTTATGTGTAAAAGAATATTCCCTCTTCAAATTAGTTAAAATTATTAAATGGAATGAGAAATTTATATCAGAATTTGCGTGAAATAATTCATTATTTTTTTATTGTCAATAAAGAGGGAAAATTAAAAATATTCCTATTATATTAATAGATAAAATGTTCACTTATTTCAAGTTTATATTTTATTCGAATTTCGTATTGAATCGTATTGCTTCGATTAAATAATACTTCTCACTCCCATTCTATAAATATGTTCTTGAAAATATTTGAATAAAATGTAAAAGTACTGACTAGCGGATATTTTATATAAAATAAATAAGATAAGATTGAATATATAGCAATGTACATGTACCAGAATTGAGAATGCTATATATATTTATATACACACACGTAACATGATATAAAACATACCCTCAAAAATGATATTAAACAGTCATAAAATATATATGTATGATAAAAGTAAAAAAAAACTTAACTATGCAAAGGATTGAATCATAATAAGGAATAAAATAAGAATAATTATAATAGACCAAATTAAATCAAAGTAGAGAATAAAGAGGATTATTTACATAATGACTTATATTATTTAATGTCTAAATTAAACTAGAATAGTGACCGAAACAAATACATGGTAAAACTACGAGATCTAAATTGAAAAGAGAGCATATATTTTAATACATATGGGGAATAAATGGTTACAATGAATTTCAATATAAATTGACAACTACAATAAGAGATTAAACCCAATATGCATGTTAAAAGGTAAATAAGGACCCAAATGCATTAAATGAGAAATTACTAAACATGATAAGTATTTATGCCAAAATAATTAATAAATAGGTAGTGGCCGAAAGGTAACCAAAACAAAATTAAAGCCTAAAATAAACATGTAAGAATTTTATTCCAGGACCAAAATGAGATGTTACAAAACATGAGTGGTCCCGAATGGGATTAATCCAAAAGTCAAAATGTGCATTTACCTCCCAAAATGACATCATTTTATGTCATACATATATACCCAGAACCAAGGCAAAAAATCAACCATAACCCTCACTTTACCTCCTTTTCTTTTTGGCCTAAAGGAAAGAGAGAACAAAAAGCTCTCGGTTCTCTCATCTCTCCCCCCTCTCACGTATGTTTTCTCATCGAGAAATAGCTCCAACTGTTGTAGATCGACATCGAAGATAAAGGCGCACCACCTCCTCTCACCCGAAAACCTCCACTTTTAACCCAAACTACTCTCCTTCAAACCCAAAACCATAAAAAATCTTCTTAATCCCTACCCATCGTCCAAAACCAATCCCAAAGGGTAAATGTGTTACCTTTAGTAACCCAAAGGGTTCCTTGACTCCAGTGAACTAATAACAGACCCGTTTGGTGCACAAAGGTAATATTTTTCTCTGTTTTTTTGTTTTTTTGGCAGGTCTTTTAATGTTCGAAAGTGGTCTCTCCTCTTTTTTTTTTCGGTAGAATGGTTCCCTCCTCTTGAAAATATTACTTGCATGCCGATTTATTGATATTTTTGGGTAGGAATCATGAGATCTATTCAGTAAGAAGGATTTTCCTACTAATATCCCGAATTTAACGTGATATTTTTTTTATTTTTAATAGTTTGGTTGATTTGGTACATTTTTGACTGATTTGATTGTTTATGGGTACTGTTCGGGTCTGTTGCTGACGACGGCGTCATGGGGAGTCTCCGTCTGCGACTTATATAGGTGGGAACCGAACGTTAGGTGCATAGACCACACTCACATGATCGGACAGTTCAAATATGTTGAGTGGTGGCGACGGTTGAGATATATTAGGGTAAACCCTAATTTTGGGAGATCTTAGAACATTAGATCTAAATTAGATCCAACGGTTGCGAAGGTGCGACACTAGAGGGCTTCCAAAACCCTAGTTGTTAACGCATATGGGCTGTTGGATCTCCCACAGATCCAACGGATGATGAAGAATGATGTGAGTCCAAAAACACAAAACCCTAATAGTTTTGGGTTCGCCAGTGGGCTTCATTCCTGGGCCGAGTGGGCAATTGTATCGAGCTTGGGGCCTTATATTTTGGGTTGTAAAAAATTATATGGAAACCTTATACTAGTACTTTTACTTATGATTATAATAATAATAACAATCAATAATAACAATTAATAATAATAACAATAATTAACAATAAGTAATAATAATACTTAATAATAATAATTAATACTAATAATAATTAATAATAATATTAGTATTATTCATATAAAATATGGTGTCTACAAGGATCTTTAAACCCAAAGACTTATCAGTTCAAGCTGTTATTGATGGTGAAGAATCGATCTCTATTAAACAAGCTTAACTATCCCCTGTATGGAAAGAGGCTATCATGGCTGAATATATTGCTCTAATTGATAAGGGTACATGGCGGTTGGTGTCGCTACCTCCTGATCGAATGAAAATCGGGTGTAACTGTTTATTCCGGATCAAGAAAAATGTTGATGGGTCTATTGTAAGGTATAAGGCTCGTTTAGTGGTGAAAGGTTTCGCTCAAGTTCTGGGACACGACTTTAATGATACGTTCAACCCAGTTATCAAACCCTCCACGTTAAAGGTTATCTTATCCTTAACTGTCATGAATGGGTGGAAATTACGACAGGTTGACGTGAATAATGAATTCCTCAATGGGGACTTACGTGAGGAGGTGTTCGTGGTGCACCCTCCTGGGTTTGAATAACTTTCTGTTGATGGCTTGCGACTTGTTTGCAAACTTGAGAAGGCATTGTATGGACGTAAGCAAGCACCACAAAGTTGATATACGAGGTTATGTATGTTTCTTGGTCAAATTGGGTTCCATGGGACACAAGATGATGCCTCCTTGTTTATTTATCGCTTAGGGAAATCTTACACCTATGTTTTCATTTATGTTGATGACATCATAATTACTGGGCAAGATGAGACTGAAGTTGAAAGCGTTGTATCGTAATTGAGTTAAGAATTCTCTCTAAAATATTTGGGGGACTTAAATAATTTTATGGGCTTGAGGTTCAGCGGACTACTCATTCTCTTATTTTACAACAAAAGAAGTTTATTCTTGAGTTATTAGAATGAACTAGCATGCGTGATGCTCAGCCAGTTCTAACACAGATGGTCATTTCTCCGAAGGTTAACAAAGATGGAGGGAACCCATTAAAAGATGTTCAATTATATAAGAGCGTTATTGGAGCTCTTCTATATTTAAATCACAAGCGACCCGACATTGCATATAGTGTCAACCGTGTCGCCCAATACATGCATGCGCCTTGCACTCAACATTGGGCGGCCGTGAAACACATCTTGCGTTACTTGTATGGGACACTTTATTATGGTTTAGTATTTTTCAAGGCTGGATTGGGCTTACACTTGGTAGCTTTTATATATGTTAATTGGGCAATCAATGTCGATGATCGTCATTCGATATCTGCTTTCTGTGTCTTTCTTGGAGTTAATCTCGTGTCTTGGGGTTCCAAGTGTCAACGATCGGTCTCTCGGTTGACTACTGAGGCTGAATACCGTGCGTTTGCTGATGTTGTGGCCGATGTTGTTTTGGATTCAAGCCTTGTTGATAGATATGGGGATTTTGTCCTTAAGAACTCCCTTTATTTAGAGTGAAAATACGATTGCGATAACAATGATTGCCAATCTTGTTCTGCATTCTTGGTAGAAACATGTTGAATTAGACCTTCATTTCATTCATGATAAGGTTTCTACTGATAGTGTTCGTGTCAATTATATTCTCGCTCGACATAAAAAAGTTGATGTATTCATTAAGCCTTTTCCTCGGGCTTATTTTTCTCTGTTTCGTTGCAATCTCAATGTCTATTGTGAAGTTCTGGAGCCCATAGACAGTAGGGAGAATGTTAACTATTATTTGAATAACAATAAGTTGTTATTTGATTGTTAGGGATAGTATGTCAGCAAGGCAAGTATGCTATAACCACATGGAATGTTCTAGCAGGTTTTTGTAGAAGCCATATATACGTGGCTCTTGGTAAATGAAAATTTAAGGCATTTGTGCTAAACAAAATTCAACAGACATGACTTATTATAATAAGTATATTCACCAAGTGACATGGCTTATTATAAATAGTATCAATTTTATTCAATTAAACCATTATTTTCCAACAAATACTAACAATAATATGAAATATGGGTTGGTCAAAGCTTGGTGTGTTTGATGGTGAGAAACCCTTTTTTACGAGCACACTGAAATAATAAATGTTCAAATAATTTGGACCTGAATATTTAATTATAATTAACTAACTACAACATTTAGTATATATAATTACCAAAATCTTAAATAATACCCTTTTCCTATGGTTGATCTTTAGAAAGGCTACCATCTGCTCTAATCATCGGTTCCCATGGAACCTTCCATTTATTTATTTAAAACTCCTACAACTTCTCTTCAATTTAGTCATTTTTTTCTTGCTAAATAAATTGGTTGGATACATGGTCATAGTCAAAGAAAAAACCAAATTTCTAGAGTGAATTTGGTTTATTTAATTTTATTTAATTTTGATATTAATTAACAGAAAATATGATTAGTGTAATTGATAATAGATCAACAAATGGTTCAATTAATTTGTTTCTAAAGTAATATAAATACAAAACATTCTATGGAACGAAGGTGCAATTATTAGAACCAAAATCTATTTGATATAAACTTAAAATTCAAGATCTATTATGTTAAATAATTAAGAATAAAATACTAATGCGGAAGCATAGCTTAATTAATTGATAGGTTAAAACTATTTAGTTTTTCTTCGGCTGTGAACTTTCAAGAAGATATGTTTTCTCTCGCTGTAAAAGCTCTCCAATGGGTAAGAATAATACAAGTTAACCTATTTTTTTGGAACTACTATCTCTTTATATAGACTAGATATTAGATCAGTCTTTTAAGTATTTATAATTTTACCCATCATCAAATTATAAATATAACTTATGATATTTGTATTTTTATTTCATGATACTTTAATACTTATGACACATGTAACATAAATGGTCACTTAATTTTTATATCATATTGTTAATAACATTTAAAATTAACATAGATGCCCATAATTATATATTTTAATCCAGCAATTGCGTCAGTGACTATATTTCTTTCTTAAAAATGAAACTCATACACAGACACACACACACAGACACACACATATATATATATATGGGCAAGATTCAATTAAATCCAGTGTAAAATTAAAGGTTTTACACTATTTTAGGATTGTTGAAAGAGAGAAATCAAATGTTGAGATTAAAAGGGAAATGAGAAGATATTCACTGAAAAAAATAATGATTTAATTTCAGCCTTTGATTTCTTTCACCCAACGGTCCTAAAAAACGTAAAACTAATACTCTTATATTAGATTGTAATCGTGATTTTTTCATTATATATATTCCATTATTTTTATTTATTATTATTATTATTACACCCATTTACAAACCAGGCCCAAAACAAACCTGAACGAGGCCCAAATAAAACCCAAACTAGACCCTGAACTAGGCCCAAACAAAACCCAAACCAGACCCCAAATCAAAACCCAAACTAGGCCCCAAATTAAAACCCCAACTAGGCCCAAACCAAACCCGACTTGGGCCCAAATTGGAGCCTAACCTAAACCTAACCCTAGCCTTAGTGTAGCAGCCCCAATTGCTTCCTCAATTGATGCCGTTCTCTGCCACCAAGCAAGGGAGGTTGTTACTCCAACACACCACCACCAAGTTGCTCCAACACTTCACGCAATATAGCAAAAGATAACCAAAAAAAATGTGTAACCATTGTTATTTTTTGAAAACTCTGTAATAGTGGGTATAAAACCCAAATCCAAAAAGTGTACAAGGGATCTCAGATTTCCGCTTTTTAGAAGCAATAAAAAACAAAGTTTCAAGGTATTATTTTTCTTTCTGTATTTTTAAGTTTCAAATAAAAAAAACTTTTTCAGTTTCGAACAATAGTAAAAAAGAGGAAAAACCTTTTTAGTTTCAAATAACAACAAAAAAGAGATTTTTTTTTAGTTTTGAAAAACCAAATAACCAAAGAATCTACAATAAAGTAAAAGTAAAAGAGGAGAGTGAGTGGTTCCTTGAAGGGGGAAGATGAACCAAAGTGTCGGTCCATCTCCACGACGGTCAGAGTGAGAGGAGGTCCAGAATCGAGGGTTCAGTTTCACGTTTAGGAGGAGGTTTTCATTTTTTTTTGTCCCAAATAGGAGTATAGGGTGGTAGATTTGGAGATTTAGGCTATTTTGGGCTAGTTTAGGTTTTTCGACAGTCGTGTGTGGTGGCTGGAGCGACGGTGAGAAACGGCCGGTAACGGGTCGGTCGAGGGAGAAAGGGGAGAGGGGAGAGGTTTTTAGTTTTTTTAGGACTTCGGGTAAAAATTAAAAAAAATAAGAAATGTTGGTTTTGTGGAGAGAGTTTAGGGTAAAATCATGCATAAGTCCCCCTATGTTTAGCGTATTTTTACATTTCTGTCACCTGTAGGGACCGAACCTGGTATTTCCCCTTTTCCTTGCATGTATGTAATTATTGGTTTATTCATTGTTTAGTCCCTCTAAGTTTAGCATGTTTTCGCATTTTGGTCATATGTAGTGACTGTTTAATTTTTTTAATTTTGGCTTGACTAATTTTTTAATTTTTGCATTTTTATTTAATAGTGCATTTTAGGTTAAAAAATCATATAACTAGTTTTTAGTCCCTACAACTTTCACATGTTTTTACATTTTAGTCACTAACCTGTTTTTATTTTTTGTTTAGATTTAGTCATTAAATTTTAATTCGTTTTAATTTAGCCCTTATTACATGTTTACTCTATTATTTTAATCCGTGTAATTTAATATTCATGCAATTTAATCCTTATTTTGATATTTTTGCTTGTTTTTATTTTAATTTTTTTAATTTGGTTTATTATTCGATTTAGTATTTCATAGTTTTTAGTTAACTAGTCTTTTAGATTTCGTCCTTATATTAGGTTGGTAAACCAAATCAGATCTAGTAATTAGGATGGCACCTTAGTTTTAATTAGGGAGCAATTAGAGCCGATTTTTCGCATAAGATGTCCGATTACTTGGGTCGATTGTTTGAACTTTTAATTTGTTAATCATAGACTAATTTTCTAAAAATCTTTTAATTTAATCCCTTAATTTCTAATAGGTTAATTTAGATAATTCTTAGAATTTTGATTTATTAATTAGTCCTTAAATTTTAGGAATTATTGATTTAGGCCCTTGAACTTTTAGTTTTTTAGAACTTTGTATTTTAGTTCTTTGACCCTTTAGTCCCTAAAATTTCAATTAGACTTTTAAATTAACATAACTAAATATGTTAAATAGAGCCTCCACTTTTAGCTAGATTTCAATATAATCCTATTAATTTAGGAATAATTTGAGTCGACCTTCGCCTAAATGCTCAAAGGACCATATCGATTATTCGATTCAATAATTGATTAAAATCAAATAGGATTAATATTACAACATACATTTCTAGGTTTGTGCCTCTAAGATCTTTAATTTTCATAACTTGACACTTTAGGATAGAAAGAACCTTAATTTACCCTTAGTCTAATCAGGATTAATAAAAATTTGTTGATTGCATTTTATTTTAAAAATTTAAGGCAATGTTCACTTATTAGGGATTCAATAGCATATATCCCACAAGTGTGCTCAAGGGTGACTACTGGTGATTCCCGAAATATGTCAACATCCTTTTCAAGACCGCATCATGATTTTTGAAATTAAGGTAATGTCTGTTTATTAGGCACAATAGCTTATCTCCCACATTTATGATGGGGGTGAATGCTATTGGTATTAATAAACGAATACCATTTGCATCCGTGATGATTTTTAAATTAGATAAAATTCGAACTCAAAATTCTTGATTCTAAATATAAGGTAATCAACTATGTACCAATTTTTAGGTGCTTGTGGGGGTGTTAATCATTCCCCACTCGTAACTGACTCTCGATCCTGATTTTTAGATTTTCGTAAACTCTAAAGCTTGGTATTTTGATAAAAATAAAATGCTTTATTAAAATCACCTGGTTTTTGTGGTGTCCCAAGCGCTCCTTAAATGATTGGTGGCGACTCCTCATATTTCAAAAATCTTTTCAATGAAAACCTCCAAGTCGGTATGAGTTTTACACCTCCCGGATGAAAACGGTGTCGACAGCTTGGCGACTCCGCTGGGGACGTTTTGTTTTTAAAACAACTTGAGAGCCGAGCCACGGGTTGGTTACCCTAAATTTAGGATTATGAAAATTATGAGTTCGATCTTATTTAATTTATAGTTCGTTATGTTATTTCAAATCAAAAAGATTTTCTCTCTAGTTAATGCTTACACTTGTGTGAGATTATTTAGGACTGTTGCATACCATAGCTCTAAACCCGAGCTCGATCTCGATTTATCGAAGTAGGGAGAAACGTCACAATGCATGAGGAGGATTGGGCTTCCTTGTGTGGGTCTGATAAAGTATCTCTGGAAAGATCCTAAGTTACCTAACCGAATATCAGATCCGAGATATGCTTTTAGTGGTGTGATCCCCTGAGCCGAATCCGATTCTTAAGTTTGTAATGGGCCAGAATTGGGGTCAACCCTAATAGGTTGTATAGATGGCT